ATCTCATTTGTGCTGATACGGAAAGAAGATAAGAACAGCTTCAGATGATTCCGCTGTTTCTTGTCTTCCCCAGAGGAAAAGAAGAAAAAAAGTCTGTTTGTGGCAAGTGCAGAGGATGTAAAGCAGAATCTTATCTATAAACCAGAAAAAAGAGATAGCCCCCTGCCTCTCCCTCAGACTATCTGTGCCTATCAGGACTGGGAGAAAGATGAGGTGGTGTTTCATGACAAACCCACATTTTGGCTTGGCATATAATATTAATGCCAGCCTCTGTTTGTAGCTCCTTTTTAAATGTATTTAAATTATTCAGTATGTAGGGGCAGGTGCCAACATGGCAGCTGGAAACTCCCCTTTCTTCTGAGGTAGCCATTGTTGTACATTTGCAGGAATTGGATGGATGTGTATGCTAGAGATGTGAAGGCCCGGGAAAAACCCGGAAAAATTGGAAAAAAACCGTTTTTTCCCGTTTTTCCCCTGAAGCTTTTTTGTTTTTTTCCGAAAAATTGGAAAAATTGAAAAAAGAAAAGAAAAGAAATTGATTATGGAATGTTTTATTTTAACATGATAAATAAAATATTTTAAGACAAGGTGTTCAAATATTTTCCAAATCATTTCTAAAAAATACATATGGTATCAGATTGATCTAATTTCTGTGCACTGAGGACAAGCAAGTCCTAGGTTACAAACTGAACTCTCCAATGCAAGAACAAGATGCATTTCTTCCTTTAGGAGGTGCGATTGTCAGAAGAAAATTAAAAAGTTTCAGTTTTGTTTTTGCATGTGGGTGGGTATTCTGTAATAATTGTTTGGATACACTATATTTTTAATATGCTAGTTGTGATAATTTCATGCCAAGTAAAAATGTCCACAGTCATATTTTATGTTCCTAAAGTAACAGAATGACTTTCAAACTAGAAAAGACAAAAGAAATGCTAATGTAGCATTTTTTTCAATTTTTCCGAAAATTTCAGTTTGTTTCCGAAAAGAACCAGGGGAAAAACGGGTTTTTTTCCGAGCTTCAAAATTTCCGGAAATTTTACATCTCTAGCCTGACTCAAGGCACATTCACATGTGCTGAGAAAGAAGAAGAAGAAGAGAAGAGATTGGATTTATACCCCGCCCTTCACTACCCAAAGGAGTCTCAGAGCAGCTTACAAACTCCTTTCCCTTCCCCTTCCCACAACAGACCCCCCCGTGAGGTAGGTGGGGCTGAGAGAGCTCTGACAGAAACTGCTCTTTTTCGAGAACAGCTGTGCCAGAACTATGGCTTGCCCAAGGTCATCCAGCCAGGTGCAAGTGGAGGAGTGGGGAATCAAACCCGGTTCTCCCAGATTAGCGTCCGCGCACGTAACCAAACTGGCACCAAACTGGCTCTAAAGCACTTCCAATGCCCTGACCGGGACGGCCCAGCCTAGCCCAATCTTGTCAGATCTCGGAAGCTAAGCAGGGTCAGCCTTGGTTAGTACTTGGATGGGAGACCCACCAAGGAAGTCCAAGGATGTGACATAGAGGCAGGCAACGGCAAACCAACTCTGAACATCTCTTGCATTGGAAACCCTACAGGATCACTAGAAATCAGCTGTGACTTGACGGATTTTGGAAAGCAAGCAAGCACTGTACAAATGACGCAGACCACAAAAGCTCAAAAAGTCATGCAAAAAAGTAAATTTATATAACAAGAATAACAGAGGACCACATGTATCTGTAAAACCAAATCACATCGTATAAGGTACAGGTCCATGAATAGTGCAAGTCCATAAATGGTACACAGACAAGGACGAAGATTCCGGATTGTGATCTTCGTTTCGATAGCTCTTCTTCAAGAAGTTCACACTACTTCATAAAGCACTCATAATGTACAGAAGACTTTAAAATGGCATATGTAGGAAAAGG